CAACGTTAAACTATAGACACCCTCTATCTTGTGCAATGAATATATCATCATCTATCTACACTACTTCCCATCACGCCTTGGTCAAAACCGGCAATCCTTCAGCCGCGACCTATGATCATTTAGTCTCGACGCAAAAAGCTTTAGTCATGTCACTGCAGACGAGTTATATCGAAAAGTATCGTAATACACTCTGAGGTCAACGATTGTTGAAATATTTCTTTTTATTTTCTACAAATTTCGATATGACCAAGTTTGATTAATAAATTAGATATGGTATTTGCATGGTGCACCACACGCTGCTTGAAGAGGGTTTCAAACGATGTGTCCGTACTGTCAAACCAATAGGCACATCTCATTTACAGGTGTTGACCAAATTCGTGCAACATCACCCTCATTTTAAAAATCCATTTCAGCTTGCAATGTACTAGCTATATATAGATGGCTACAACGAGCAATACTCTTGTAAGTAAAACTTTTAAATTTGGCACAAACGGTACATTGTGTTGCATTCACATGTCCTGACATAATAAACATCATTTAAAAAATACACCTCCATTGGTATCGAGTGGTGTCCCACTTGGTTGTCACAAGCATAGCTTCACCGACCCACCGACTCGACGTCCGTCACAGAGCTCGACAAGATGCACGACTGGGGTCTGCCTCATTTCAGCACAGAAAGAGCGTGGGAAGACAGGTGGTCGATCCGGGGGTAGAAAAAATGCATGATCAATTGACCAATGAGGTGCGCTGAACGGAAGCGGATCCAACCACAGCATTTCTTTCTCAAATCTAAGTGATGGTTTCTCAATTCCAAATGACGGTTTCGCAAATGAGAATTATAGTTTCTCAAAGCTATCTTAAAATGGTATAAACTTGATTTCACCGGCCTTGATGCCCCCCCCCTTCCTCGAATTTCATTGGGGGCCTGGAGGGGTGATTAATGTCGAAGGTTAGAAAACGTTGAAGAGAGACATGATCCACCGTCAGAACTAATGATCTGAAAGTTATAAACGTTTACAATGAATGTATATGACTACCTCTCATCCGCGCAGCAAACAAACACCGGGACAGAAATCACGGGTGTACACGGTGTAAAACAATAACACACTTCAGAGTTACACGATTTCGTTACTCTTTCCGACATCGTCTGTACTTTGATTCTTTTGTGCACAGTGCTCGTAGTTACCTGCTTCCGGATGATGGCGAAACAAGCACAAACGGACGCTGCAGTCACGTATGGGGTGGAGGTTCGTATTCCGCTCGTTTCTCTTCTCGATCGTGATCATCGTCAAGTCATTCGGTTGATCGACAAATCGTATTCAAATTCCAATCTGCACTCGCTTCCCCATCGCCCGGCAGATGCTTTCCTATCTCTATTCCACCGGTACTATTTCGGTTTCTGCTCTTCTGAGATCGCTTCGGTGGTTCTCCTCCCCGTGTCCTTTTCTCTTCCATGTCATACGCAGGCGGATAGTCATTTTTATTAGCTTTCTGACCCTTTATGTCAATCTTTTATCCGCACTTCTCTTCATAACCCAGAACTGAGAAATTGCGGGGCAGTATTCCAGTTTCACTGACTCTTTTCAAAAGTATGATGAATTTATTGGTTCTCATCCGAATGTCCCACCTTACATTATGTCTTTGATCGAGTTCACCCCCACTGTTTTAAATCAGTTTGTGCAAAAAAAACAATGGATATCGATTGCAGCGTTGCAGAAATATTCTACTCACGTGCATATTTCATCCAATGAAGGATCCGTTAGAAGTCGCGAAGCCAAACGTGTCCAGAAATCCGTAGGGACATAGGTAGTCACATAGAGACGTACAATTTCCTCACCGGGCACCGTTCGCACATCTAACGGTCCCCAAGGTGCTGTGCGTTTCAGGGATTTGGGACCAGGGGTCACAACCAGTGCCTGTTCTTTTCCTGCACGCGCCAAGCAAGGTTTCACACCACATTTCGATCGGTCCTTTCGTTTTACCTCGTTCGGAGGCACAGACAAGCTAGTAGACAGCTGAAATAATTCCAAGAGGACGACAGACGAACAAATCAAACAGAAATTGTGGAATAAATAACAGTAAATTATTTGCTGACATTCCTCATGAACAGAGTACGGAGAGCACGAACTAGGAAGTTGGGAGGAGCTCACTGTACACAGCTGTTTTGACCTCGTCGGATCAACCATCAGTAGTGTGAATCCATCTCAGTGGAACTTTCACCACCATGAAGCTGAGAGCAGATCATTCTTCATGCTGTTTGTGCATGATAGGGCACAACCAGTATATAGCAAGCTTGCTGCGACCACCTACGATCGCATTGATTAAAGAATTAGTCTCCGAAATTATGACTTGGTTGGAAGTATTACGAACTGCCGTGGTATATAATCATCATCGTACAGCGAGATACAGTGAAGCGAGCTTCACTGATCGCTGCGAAGCTCACAATGTACACAAATCAAGTGATAAAGCAAAAGATGGAGAGAGATTGAGCCTACTTGGAGAGAGGCAAAGAAAAATAACCTCTATGTTCGACACACAGAGCACATGCATGCATACTTCTTTTCAAGCATTCTGTCTTGTTAAGAAATGACAAGAGTGCCACTGCTGTCGGTTAGTCGCCATATTGTTTAATGTCTCCAGCCAACCAGTTGTAGAGTCTTTCGGACCCCAACCTGGAAGACGGGAGAGAGAGACGTGGTATATAGGAGTGGTGGAAAATTGGACTGGATTGTACGGTGAATCGCGACATCTCCAGGACAAACAAAGCGTGACCTGAAAAGCTCAGAAGCAACGGATAGCTGCTCGATCTGATTAGTTTCCCCGGTGAAACGAATAGCATCCCGGACACCCTCGGGTTAAGCAGAACTGGATGCTACTAGGCGCGTTCTCGTGCTGTGGATAGGGGATACCTTCACCGAAGAAGATTAGCTATGAATAAGTTGTGGTATGCCGCAACAAACAAGCAGTCGCTTACAAACAGCGGCGGCACAGAGGCTGGTCACCTGGATCCTGTTTAAAAGCCATATAAACCCAGTGACGGTGTCGTGATAAAGGTCGATGCGACTGACCTTTTAAAACTAAGGTCTCTGAAATCCTCACTCTCACCAACAACTCCGAGGCGAGGGTTTACTTCCTGCTGCCTTGCAGTTCGCACTTGGTTGTGCAATGATTAGAGATGCGCCCTCCAAATAAGAAATGGCGAGTGACGCTGGGGATGTACCAAACTCCCAAGGAACTTCATGATCATGAACATGCCTGGAGCCGGCTTTTCCTTTCCAAGGAGCCGGTCGCAGTAAAAATAAGTAAACGAATAGCATGCTTCAGTTAGACCTAGGAGGTCCAATCCTCTGTTGATTGAATAGATCCGCCCGAGTGTTCCGTATTCGACGCAATTAACTATACAATTTCAGTAGTGTAAATCAAGTTGTAAAGTGCTAAAATACAGTTCGATCACGATTCAACTTTGATCGAAAATGGCCAGCTCAGAACTATATTAAAGATTTTATCATGATAAGGCCAAATTTTTGGAAACCGTGTGTGTGATTTCATGCGTCAATGGGAGCAAAAACATTAGTGGATACTGTAACATATGTGTGGGATANGGGGGGACAAATTTGACAAACTTCAGGGTGTGCCACGAGTTCGATCAAGACCCGTGTGCAGTGCTCTGGATTTTGCGCTAGGAGTTGGACGCCCTAAATTTCCCTCGAAAGTACCGTTCTCTGACAAGTTTGTAAATTTTGCACGGCAAAAAAACACGTAACTATCTGCTGATTAAACACAGTGCAAGCGTACACTGTGTGCAGACAGGTAAGTGTGGATTTAGCACTCCAGGTAGACAGTGACCCACTGTTGACAAAGTATTGAAAATCGGTTCTCGTAGCTCGGGCGAACTGAATACAACTTCGCCTGTTCGCCGAGCTTGGCGATTGGTTTGCAGACGTTTCATCACCAGCGGAAATGACATCATCAGTGCTTGTGAAGTGGCAGTTCTTTGCTTGTGTCCGCTCGTTTATATATGTGTTCTTCTCCACCGACCATTGTTGTCCCTTGTTCTCATTGTGAATTCTCATTGAGAATTTCTCGAAGCTTGGTACTCCTCAATCAACTCAATCAACAGGCACATTGAACTGGATCACGTGTACACGCCAATGCAACACAAGGATCAAATGACGCAACAAAGAAAAGGTCACGGCGTGACCTGAGAACGGACCGAAACAGCAATCAGGACGGATGGACAACCAACTGCCCTACCAACCTCATCCCCACGCACCAGTTTAACGGCGAACGCAGTCAAACACAATGAGAACAAAGGACAACAATGGTCGGTGAAGAAGAACACATATAAAAACGAACGCAATGGCTACCTCCGCAACTTCATCAAACGAACTCTGGCTCAAAGAAAGAAAGAAACAACAGACGGGAACAAGAACGACCCTGCTGTACATCAAGGACGTTTCGGAAATGACGGCAAGACTGCTCAGATCGTATGGAATCTAAGTCGTCCACAAACCGAACGCCTGTCTAA